AATATCTACATAAAGCAACGATTGAGAATTATTAAAGATAGAGATACATTTTTATATTTTATGATTATTTAAGAGTAATCTCTTTTCTTAAATGGAAACTATATTTATCATTAATTATCATAAATTTCGATCAATTCTACTGTATTGAGGCGAGAATATTGTACAAAATGCTGCAGGGTATATGTCGTATGTTTAATGCTTAATGAAAGTTTGATTCGCGATCGGTCGCGAAAATACTTTACCACGAGGCAATAACGTCGTGTGATGCACTCGTGGGAGAGGTAACCGCATGCGAGCTTCGTAATATTTCATATAAGGATGACGCAATCACGTGATAAATTTGTTCGAATTTGTCAGATTTTTATAACGCTCGCGGCAACAAAGATTCTCACTGTACATTGAAAAAAAATTGCTAAATTTTAATAAATATTTGTTTCAATAGTATTGACGAAATATTTACTAAATGTAAATACATATATTTATTTGCATTTAAGCATAACTTTTTTAATTTTGAGTAAATATTCATTTACTGTAAGTAAATATTTTGTTAGTATTGCAACAAATATTTATTAAAATTCAATAAATTTTTTCAGTGTAAGATTTGCACTATAACATGAAATATAATCGACCCTTGTAAACCGATATTGTTCCCGATATACTATATACATCAATAGAACGTGCAATAATTTACACGGTACACGCCATCAATTCATTTATTGATACTTATTGTTGATGATTTCTTAGAGTCTATTTGCGACAATAAATAAGAAAACGCGAAGTTTAAAGGGAATTCATTTATGATAACGTATTGCTTTTTCAAAGGGATATTTATAAATAAAGGCGAAATTAATTTGAAATTATAATAGTCTTTTGATTTATACATTTTTATATATTTTTTATTATGCAAATTATGGAAATTTGTGAAATCCATATATATTTTGGTAATTATTCAGAATATTTTCTGATTTCCTTTTTCGAATTTTGATATTTTTTTGCGTCGGTCAATAAAAATTTTTATTGTTACTCTGACAGTGATAATCAACAGAGGGAGGTCGAAAAATATGTAAAAAATCTACCTATTTTATTAATTATTTATTTCCAACAGCTTTTCAGATCTCCCGTATTACAAATACGGGATATAATACGGGATCCTTAAAAAGGTCAATTTTAGTCCTGAATAAGGCTAATGATTTATTATGCCTGTTTTTGTGTAAGCATATTTTATCTTTGCATGCTGAGAGAAAGTGTCGGTTATTTTATTATCCATAAATAGAACAGTCAAAAAAAAAAAATGGTCGGTATTGTAGTTGGTTCTTATTTTAAGATCATTTTGAGTAACGTCTTAAGATACTAATACATTCTGATTGGTTCATAATCTTTTTGATTGTACTTGAGACGATTTTAAATATAAGATCCGACTATGAATACTGACCAATGTTTTGCATATATTATATGAAGCCGACTATGAATAAGAGAAAAGAAAGGCGAAGGAAACTCAAAAAATAGGTAGCTTACACATTTTGTTTACCTTCCCTGTTAATTATCAGTGTCAGAAATACAACAAAGATTTTTATCAAGACTGCCACATAAAAATCACAATTAAAAAAAATGTTCTTATTTTGAATAATTCCTTTAAATTATTACGTGTAATAATTTCTTAAATTAATTTTTTTGATTTAAACAAAATATTCACAGATTTATTTATGAATCTTTTGTCTCTAAAGTACATGAATTGCACGATCTTTCTCGCAAAAACTTTGTTCTAAAAAGCTCATGATGCTTCTATGTTTTTTTAAACAGAATTTCACAGATTTTAATAGACATAGCAGGTGCGGAGGCGAAACATTCAGTCTCATTTTTACCAGAGTTCTAATTTTAATTTGTGTTTCAATCTAATTTTAAATCATATTAGCTTTGTTATTTTATATTATTAATTTTTATGTTGGAATAATTCAACATAGAATAATAAATAAGTATATTATAGTGTAAAAAGTTATATTGTTCACAGGAATAAATTACATGCAGTTCAGTTTCAAAGACCGGGGTGTATCTGAAAAATAGATCGATCTCTTTATCATTTGCGTAACGATATTTCTCATATTAGGCAAATTCGAAGTCGTGATGAGAAACTGATTTATCGCTTAGCAGACTTCTGGGGAAATTCTTTGTCTTCAGAGAAGAGCGTGGGCGATCGGGTACGTCGTCCTTTACTTGTCTACCACGGCTTATTGTTCTCGTTGATTCAGTGGAGCAAATAAGCCATTATCGCAACAACCCTTTACAGAATCGTGCGCACAATAATCGATATTAGGGAGCATCGCGAGCAGTATGATATAGCTAACTGGTGTTATTAAACTCGTGACCTATCCAAGGATACAACAATGAAGATCTTATCACGAGATAATGATTGGATGGCACAGAATTACGACGTGTCTTCCCTTAAAGTGATAGGTTCTTGATCTTTCCGGTTATGGGTTATATATGAGTATAGGATATATATTCTTCCTATGAAAAATGTGTCCTTATCTTCCTTAAATTGCCAAAATTTTATGAGATCGTCAGTCATCCTTGCGTATCTGTGAAGGTATCTCTAAAAGGGACATTTCGTACCCTATTAAGAATTTATCTGCCTCTGATTAGGAATTACTTAAAGTTTTAATGAAGACGAAAATGTAAAAGTAAATTTATACCAAGTAAATGTATTTATTTTTACTTTTTTCCTTTATACATAAAAAAAGATGATAAAACACTGCTATATATTAAATATATAGCACGATAATTTTTCTGAATGTAACACGACTCATATAGAAACAATTAAATCGATCATGATAAATTATGAATAATAACAATAAAGCGACATAATAACAAATTAATATTTAGCTTTTTTTTTTACAAGAAAGGCTTACAAAGAATGGCTTACGCAGTCTAGCAGGCTTGCATGGATTGCTTGATTTATCTTCTGTTTAATATCAACTCGAACGGAAAAATTCAATTAGATGCGTAAGTACGGATTAGATGTAAATACCCTTTTTGAAGTGCCAGATTTATGCATTCATCGATCATTATCGCCGTTAATGTGTGTGTGTATGTGTTTCGCGCATGTTAAGTTTAAATGTATTCAGTAGATTTTTTCTCTTTCGTGAAAGGAATCGCCGCGATTCTAATCGCGGTCATTACCTTGATTCACAAAGGAATTTCCGTAATCTCTTCTTTCACGGGTTAAATATGCGAAAACGGTTTTCTCCTCTCCCCCTTTCTCTCTTCTCGCTTCACAACGTTGCCTGTATAGTAAATGGAAATTTCGGAAGCAATTTATCATAAATTCAATAAAACACAGGCCGTCAATCTCTAACTATATCACGCAAACGCTAATTTAAATCATGAAACAGAGAAAAAGAGAGGATGAGAGATACAGAGAGAGAGAGTAAGATTTGAGAGAACTCTACGTTACTAGACTCATTGCTTACGGAATTACTAGAACTCATCTCAAATTGGATGGATGATAAGCAGTTTCCTTGTTTATTAGATACCCCCTTGCACAATTTTCTCTTTATTTTCCTTTTTTTTCATCTCTCTCTCTCTCTCTCTCTCTCTCTCTCTCTCTCTGTCTCATACACAGTATTGATACGCGCATTTATATACTTTATTATGTATGTACTATCTATTTCTATATTTGCATCTATACATATATGTATGAATTACTACACAGTTTATTTTTATTAGATTTATATTATCTTTGTTGTCACGTCAGATCTAAATTTAATATATCAACAAATTTATTACTTTTCCATTAATTTTATTATTTAAAATCACGATTAAATCTTTTTATTGATATTTATTGTAGTCATATGTGAAAGCTGTGTCTAAAGACAGAGCGAGAATTCGGAATATCCTAAATGTTTAATGTAACGAAATGACTTATTTATATTCCTTTTTATTTTTAAAAATTATATGTACAAAAAGCAAACTTTTTTGAAACATAGGGGGCATATATGTATAAGATTTATTCTAACAATCCAGAGTAGCGTCATATGGAATATATATATTAGTGGAAATCAATGATCAAAATCAACGGAAAAATCTTCGGAAAGATTCTGAAGAGTTTTATTATAATACGAAGAAAATGTATAGTTCACTGTTTGTGCTTCCAGTTTCATGAATAAACACGCATTCAAATTCACCAAAATTACTGTAGGTTGTAATCTTTGATGAAAACATTGTTCGTATTTCTGATGTAAATTGTTCTAC